CCGGCTGAGCTGTTGGTGGAATCTGACAGCGATGAACACTATGGGACTGCCCTGGAGGCTGAGGAAGACTCTGGGGGGGGGGGGGGTTCGGGGCCAGAGCAGGGAGTGGGGAGGCCTGTTGACCACCAGGTGGTGTCTGAGTCAGGTAGCAGTGAGGAAGAACAGAGGGAGGCTGTCCCTGACGTACATATGCGTAGGGCTGGAAGGAGGAGGGAGCAGCTTTGGAAAAAGGTTCACAAAAGGAAATAGGAACAGGTGGCTACTGATTGGCCCCTCCCAGAGAGCTTATAGATGGGGCCATGGGAAACAACAATTTACTGATCCAGCTGTAGAGAAAGATTGGGAGACTTTCATGAGTTCAAGCCTTGTTTCATAGAGATAGCTTTCCGGGCTCCCAGCCAAGGGGTTGGTTATCTCCTTCCTTAGTTGTGGCAGACAGCCAGGTCTGCGTCCATATATATTGTACAGGCTTGGGACAGAACAATGTCAATGTTTAGACAACCATTAAGGCCTCCACTTAACAAAAACCATCCTTTCCAGGGCATACCCTTCTTATATTAGAATCTGTATTTTATTATTTTATTTTATTATTATTTTAGGGGGACAGTGCTTTCTGAGCTTAGCTATTTTTTTGCAGACATTTCATTACCTTAGGAAACATCATCACTACCATGTCTACAAGAAAACAAGTAAGCTCAGAGATCACAAAGGATCTTTCATTTCAAACCTCAGCTTCTCCTTTATTGGTATTTTATAATTTATTTTATTTATTATTTTAATACTGCTCATTTCAGTCTCAGAGTGACTCTGTCCTAGAGTGACTATGTCCTGTATCATGACATGGAAAAAGTGAGTAGGAGTGTATTTTATTTTCTTCCTTTTTCAAAGGAAGTATTGGTGTGTGTGTGTGTGTACATGTGTATTTGTGTCTGAATTAATCTTGACTTCTAGTTTTCCTTTGCTTCCTTCCTAGGGCTGAGAGAGAGATGAACTGGGCCAAAACATTCCAGCTGATTTTTGGGCCTAGCACTTTCTCCTGCTTTCTAATCTGGAACATTTAATTACTACTACAATTGGCTCTAAAGTTAATGCTAATGATGGGAAATTGGAGAAAGACAAAAAGAAGTACTTACATACTTAAAACTGTGGATCTAGACCAGGGGTGTCAAACTCATGGCCCAGGGCTGGATCCGGCCCAAGGGGTATTTAGATCTGGCCCATGGGAACAACGAAGGACTGTATTGCTTCTGTCAGAGAAAATGGGCTCCCAAGCTCTGTTTCTGGCTGCCACAGCCTCCTGTAATCCTCTGCCAGTGAAAATGGAGCTTGGGAGTCCATTTTCTTTAGCAGAGGGTTGCAGGAGTCCGTGGCAGCCGAAAACGGAGTTTGGGAGCCTGTTTTCACTGGCATAATGGTCGGGCCACCATGGGTGCTGACAGGAGTGATATTAAGCTGGCCACACCCACCCTGGCCACCGCCCCCCCCCCAAGATCAAACACAACCCTGATATGGCCCTCAATGAAATTGAGTGACACCCCCAATCTAGGCAATTTCCTTTCCTATCAACAACTGACAAGTGGGTGAGAAACTCCAGTGAAGTCAATACCCTAATGCAATGCTTCTCAATTGCAATAGTTTGTAAATTGTGTGAATTTCAACTCTGTCTGGGAAATTCTGGAAATTGAAGCTTGGATGTTGAGAAACACTGTTCTAATGGATGTCAACAAATATTGCTTCTTTCAGCTGAAAGGGCTTATCCTCCCAATACTAATCTTTAGGGAATACCACCAAAGTAGTGATATCATCTTTTTTACCCTACTTACAGTCGTTCTAAAGTTATCTCTTTGGTCATTTTGGGAATAGATATAGGACTAAAAAAACTTTTGGTCTGTTTTAGCAGCAATTCTCTGTTATTCGTATACATACTCTGGCAGCTGATTGCTCCAATAGTCCATTTCAAGCCTTCAGCACAGGTGGCAACTGGGTTTCCTACAATTATGTATCCAGTGTTGCAAGCATAATGGATGCTTTTCCCCACAGGATAGGATGAATCAGCGTCCTAAGAAAAACCAACAACCTTGAGAATCACTGAACAGAACAAACAAACAAATCTTTATATGCAGAATATCCTTATGGAATATATCAGACAATACAACAGTAGTTTTTCTTTGGCTTAAGCATTTTTGAAATATCAATAAGAGTTGGAATCGAGTATTTTTTTCTGGAGAACAATAATAAGAGCACAAAAAAACTTTCTAGCAGTAGAATAGTCTCTGGACCTTTGGAGAAAACAGTTAAGAAGTCAAAAACATCTTGCCTATCTTCTAAAAAGAAGGAGAGAAGGAAGAAAAGAGAGAAAATACTTCAGTGGGTATAATGTAGTATGTCAAAGGATTGTGGCTCTTCTGTTCTAGCTGTCTTATCAAAGTGTCCTTCCAAAGAGGTTGAACAGTCATGCTACTAGGAAAATCAGAATGTTGCAATGCCAATGAATACCACATATGATGGTTTTTCCCCCTGAATAAGTTAATATAGGATAATCTAAGTTAGATTTCTGTATCTGCACATAGATTTGGAATCCAAGGAATATTCTTCTATGACTTACTTACTTGAACATATCCATTTTCCAAGGCAGGTGGTGATGGGCAGGATTCTCTGACAGTTCCAGAAGTATCAAAGCAGTGTGGCTCAATTGTTCTATAAAGCAAAACATGATAGACTCCATTTTACCAAATACTCTTCAAGATATTTGTCACCTTTCGTTTCAAAATGCCCCATCCATCCATCCATCCATCCATCCACCCATCCATCCATCCATCCATCCATCCATCCATCCATCCATCCATCTATCTATTGAAGAAAGTTAGCACCCACTTTTCTCCTAGAAGAATGACATATTTTAGGAAATATTAAAAAAGCGGAATATTATATTTCCCTGGATGACAAATTGAGAAACATGCTCTTGGCGACAGAAACTCAACTCCAGCCCCCTGCCCCCAGCAGATAATTTGGTACCATCTTATCTACAAAACAAAAGACCTCAGCTCCAGGGTGATGGGATTAAGACATGACCCTCCAGGATATAATAGGATTATCTATCAGCAGAGTTTACTACAACCAGGCCCCTTCATTACATCACCCAGCAAGGCTCAATCAAAACTTGATTCAGACAAACATGATTCCCCATGGGAGTCTGGCTGCAACCAATAGGATACATGCCCTTGCCACAGGAACAGGAAAGCCCAAAGCCCAAAGCCCAAGAGAGGGTATAAATAAGCCCAAAGCCCAAGAGAGGGTACCCAGGACTTCAAACCCATGTGATCCTTTTCACCATTAAACCATCCTTCCATGCTGCTAGTGTCTTTCTCCCTACTTGGAACTGAATCCAGATGGACATTTCTTCCAACCTCTATCTATCTATCTATCTATCTATCTATCTATCTATCTATCTATCTATCTATCTATCTATCTATCATCTACCTACCTACCTACCTACCTACCTACCTACCTACCTACCTACCTACCTATCCTCTAACACATTTCTACATTGCCCAGCTTACTTAAGTGACTCTGAATCAGTTTACAATAAAAAACATACTATAATATAAAAGTATAAACAAAAGGAGTTCAAACAAACTTAAAAACAATATTAAAAATTTAGCTATTACAAAGTTGCAGAGGCGGTCGGAGCACCCTCATGTCACACCAACCGCCGCCAGGGTTGCATATCCCTCTTAGATCCCCCATGTCAATTGATAGAACCAGGTCTTAACTCTCTTTCCGATGGCCGGAAAAGTGGGGGCGCAGCTTGCCTCTGGTGATAAAATGTTGCAGAGTGTGGGAGCATTGGAAGAGAACACTCTAATTGAAGACACTATTTCACAAGTTTATTCAACATTGAGCATCATATTCATATTATAATCTTCTGCAGACTATAAATTGTATGGCCATGCATACATACATAATAGTGTGTGTATATATGTGTACACACACACACACACACACACACACACACACACACACACACACACACACA